GACGCTTTGTGGTGGAAAACTCTTTTTGGAGGAGAGTGAGGATATTTATACCTACCCTAGTTAATTTGGGCCCTTGGATTAAAGAATGTATTAGGGTCCAGATCGCTAGAGTCCAATAAGTTACACGTTGTGCGAAGTACCTTTTTTGAACCGAAATACGTCCTTTCACATCCACAATTAATGCATCTGACAACCTTCTCATGTAACAAGACGACACGTCACTCTAGTTGATCGTACTTTTTAGTGAGCTACGAATTCAGCTCACACAAAGTAGGTCTTAAGGAGGGACTAGGTTATATAGATACGATAGGGGCCGCTCAATCTAGCCAACTCAAACAGGCTGTCAAGTCGAACGGTCGTGATCTCCTAAAAGGTCACTCGACCCAAATGCTAAGTTGAACGACCCAAAGCCCTGAAGCTCGACCAAATGCGGAGCCTAACGACTTTAGCTAAAACTACCTAAACAATCTGAAGATGCGAAAACACCTAAACGACCTAATTAGCTAGATCACCTAAACGATTTGAGACCTAAAACGGCCAAAATGACCCAAACAACCTAAAGAGACTAAATGATGTACGCGCTGCATTATGGGAGCTGTTTGGAGACCTAAAAGGACTCAATGACCTAAATAAATCCTAGAAGATACCTTGAACTGATTTTTGAAGACCTAAGAGTAATGGTCATGTGTAAACATATCAAATAATCCTAGTCATAATGACAAGAACGAATATTGAGCAGCTTATCCGAGAAGCCAACTGTCCCTAGCGCGGGCAGACCGGTAGCATCCCGTTTGTACTTCCGGACTACCCTTTCATGGGACCAAGATAGGATTAGGGTAAGATCACCACACTATAAATAGACGGTACAAGGTATGGTGAAGTCTTCTTCTGCTTCCAAATATTTGATCTCTGCTATTACCTTTAATCTCCAAATTCCTCATTAACTTGATAGTCAGAGTGCTAGCGCCGAGCGAACCTCCTGACCCCTTTTGCTCTCGTTGTGGACAACTTCATCTTAGGTGACCGGGTTATCAGTCTCGAACCGAAAGCTTTGAGAGGTCGAACCAGCTTCAATCGAAGTTATTTGGTGGAGCACCATCAAAGCTTAAACAATAATTTGCAACCTTTACTATTCACATATTTGGGATTTGCAACCTAAACTATTTTTTTGTAAATTGCAATACTTAATACACAAAACGTCTTCTAATTTTCACCGGCAAAGCAAGCCTGCGAGACGCACATACCAAGTTTGAGGGTAAAACGTCATTTTATGTCTCTGAATTAAGTTTATGACAAAATAGTCCTTGAAATTCAAACTAACAGATATAAGATTCTTCTATCTAGGGTTATTTGGTGGAGCACCATCAAAGGGTAAACAATAATTTGCAATCTTTACTATTCTTATATTTGGGATTTGCAATCTAAACAATTTTTTGTTGTAAATTGCAACACTTCATACACAAAACATCTACATCGCAACCTCTGACCCTCGATGACCATCAACAATCTAATTTTCAAGGTAAAGCGAGCGTGCGAGACGCACATACCAAGTTTGAGGGTAAAACGTCTCTGATATCTCTTGTCTCTCTCTGAATTCAGTTTATGACAAAATTGTTCTTGAAATTCAAATTAAAAGATATAAGATTCTTCTATTTAGGGTTCTTCTACGATTTCTTCTCAATGTTTCATCCGTTAATGGTGAGACCTTGGATGAGAAGGCTTGGATTGAAAGGGGAAATTCGATGGCTTGGATGAAAAGGGCTGCTGTTGGGGAATTGGGATGCCCTTCTTTCATCTCAATGTTTCCTTCGTACTCGGGGAATCGAGTGCTTGAATGAAAAAGGGCTGCTGTTGGGAATTTGAGTATTAGGGTTTTGCAGGGGTTTGGTGAGGAGAGGCGCGGCGATTTCATTTGAGGACGATTTACGGAAAAATGTTTTTCGTAGAATGGCGGCGGCCATTGTTGACGAGCTCTACTTTGATGGGTGCTCCACAATTGATTCTCGTTGAAAGGAATTGTTACTGGGATTCTTTAAAAATGGCTACGACTGGAAGAGTTTTGTGTGGGTACATATTCGTGTGTGTATGTGTGAGTGAGGACCGAGGAGAATTTTGGCCATGGATGGTACTTTAAAAACTATACATGCACTGGGAGAAATGTCCAAATTGTCCTAGAAACCATCAGATGAAATGACATTTTTGCCCTCAAATTTGGCATGTGCGTCTCTCGCACGCTCGCTTTTCGGGTAGAAATTGGACTGTTGATAGTTGGAGGTTGCGATATAGACATTTTGTGTATTAAAGGTTGCAATTTACTGCCAAAAAAATTGCTTAGGCTACAACTCCCAAATACAACAAGTTGCAAATTATTATTTACCCCTTGAATAAAGATAACAAGCTCAACCGGAGTACTTAAAATCTTGGAGAAGACTCAGGGATCATGTACACTTTTCTTCTGTTTTCCAAACAAAACGAAAATGGTAACTGTGGTTTGTAATAACTATAGGGAGACAACTGAAACCCCCTTAGGTGGGGCCATCATCTTTCCTGTTGCCATAGATATGAAACGTGTTTCATTAATTCATAATGCGTAATTCAGTCAAGCACTAGAGTGGCACTAGGGTGGAGGGAAACTTTGTGACCTGTATAAGGACCTTACATATTCAATATTAGGTCCTTCATTCAGAAAATCAATGCTGCATCATAATGCTACAGAGGCTATGTTTGTCTCATGTTCGTTTCCGACTTATGTGGCAGTTTAGATATGCCGTCATGTTATTGAATTTTGGAGTTCTTTGGCTGAATTTTGTGCATAGAGCATTTAAGGAATTGACCTGGTTGGTATTTTCACTGGTGCTACAATTTCTATAACATGACCATGAAATAATACAAGGCCTAGCGCTCAATATTGATTTTCAATCATTTTGGCCTGCTCATAGTTGTGCTTTCTCTAATCTTGTTAAAAACTTTTGTTTTTTTTCCGAGAATTCATGTTGTGGATATGGTTTACATAATTCTTTTGGTGCAGCAAAAAGTAATTTACACAGTTGCTACATACATAAGATAATTGGTGAAGTAGGTGCAAAAAGGCTGCACTTGAGGCTTGAGTCCAATGATGCTGTGCCTGTAGGTTAGGTTTAGTACTTTAGTTTGAGACATGGGAGGAAGGGTGTTTAGACATGAAAAATTTCTGTATAAAAAGTTAATCTAAACAATTTTATATATTTTTATGATTTTGGAAAACAGTCATCCAGGTTATTTTGCAACCTGGCATTGTATCACCATTAAACAAATTTCTGCTGCATTTCCTTTTCTATTCAAAGCACCCAACTTTACTTTACAGAAATCTCAAAGATTGCCGAATTCATTCAGAGGGGGAGATCCACTGGCGCCTATTTGTGCAATAGCCTAATTACTAAATATATAAATAAAAACTAATGGAGCAATCAGACCTGATGGGAGCCCAGATAAATAGGGTCCGCGTGAAGAGGAAAACTTTAGAGGAAGTCCTTCAGCAATGCCAATTTGCCCTCCAACAACTTGCCTCTGGCTGTGATGAAGATGTTGATGATGGCGAAAATGCAGATGGTGAACTCAATGTGCCTCAAGAGACTGGTGAAGCTTCCTCAAATCCTGCCAATAGTGACACAGATACAACCGAGGTAAAAATGTTATCTTTTACAGATTTTATGTTTCCTCTTGCATTGATTCTGCACGCTTTGATGATCTAGTTTCATTCACATATTGGGCTAGACATCTTAAGTCGTTTCCCAAGTGCTTATACACGTGTGCCATTCTCTGACGTAAGAGTAATAAAGTTCGAATATTCACCAACGTAGGCCAGTATGACCAGATATTATGTAAAGCTAGCTAAACTTCGTATCTGAGTCAAATATTATGATCTGTGTGAGTACTTATAGCTTCAGTGACAACTTGCAGTTCATCTTCTGTAATATGGCATTATAAAAGCCTGCACAATCTAAATCTCATTTCTTCAGTGCAGTTTTATGACCTCTTGAAGTCTAGAGTTGAATGTGCTGATTTCCTCCAGAAACTAGAAAATGCCCAGGCGTCATTTCCAGAAAACATAGCTGGTATGACTTTAAAGTTAATAGCAGTTTTAATGGCTTGTTAGTATGGATCCTTCTTGAAGACCCACAAAAAAGGAAGAAAAGAAGTGGCAAAGTCTTGTCGTGATATAGTACTTACATTGTTTTCTTCATTTTGAAAATCGGCATATTATTATAGCCATTTACCCTTTTACGCATGTGTATATTTCAGCAAGATGTTTGTATGACAGGCGATTGAAAGAAAATGAAAGTAATGGACTTGACACTGTTTAGATGATTGAAATGTTATTCTTCCTTCTCTTAACAATTTCAGTTGTACTGCCACTTTTATTTCTAACCATACCCAAGGATGCAGAGGAAGGCAGTTCCTGGGACATGGTCAGCAAAAATGACCTTTGGGAAGGTGGTAATGTTGAGTTAGACCCAGAAGATTATGTTTTAGTCGGGCAAGAAGATATAATGGATGGTATAGCCTCTTTCATGGCTGCATATCTGTTGTCCCTTAAACAAACAAAGGTGGGCATAAGTTCTAGTTCTCTTGTTTCGTTTCTTTTAATCGAGTCTCGACAATTTAACCTGGTACATACTGGCTTAAACATGGTACTAAAAATATTTTGCATGCCATTCCCATCAAATAAGTAGTCCTGTTATGCACCAACATTATTTTGATATTTCCTACTGGATCATATTCAACAAATTAGTGGTCGACAAGTCACTGACTTGCGAATCTGTTGATTTATTTAGTTGTTTGGGTCACAAGTTTTAGTTGGTTCACTTGTGACATAAAGCAAACCTCTGTACGAGGTCTTGAAAGACTCCCCAGTCAGTTAGAAGTGAGACAATTATTAGTCAACAAGTCGCTGGGTTGCAAATTTGTTAAATATGTTTTGTTCTTTGGGTCTTATGTTTTAGTTGGACTGTTGGCTCACTTGTGACATGAAGTAATCCTCCATCCAATGTTGTGAAAGACCCCTCAACATCAATGAGAAGGAAGGCATGTGCAATAATTGTTAAAAGACGGACCTCCAACTTTAGTTCACATTGCATCTTGAGGGCCGATTTTAATCCACTCATACCAACTAATTGTTTAGCTCCCGAATAAGACATTATATGAATTGAATTAAAGGGGTTAACTCCAAGTCACACCATCGTATCAGCTTTCTGAAAAATGAATTATCAGTAATATGCAGTTCTGGAAATGCATATAGGCTCCCATAATTGGCAGGTTTTATTTTACTTTTAGTTTCCTCTCTTTGAATGCATTTTTAATGCTAATACTGAACAAATAATAAAGTTTTAGTTTAAGTTATTTAATTTTCTTTCCATTTATAACATCTCTCAGCTGTTTACAGGATCTGACACCAAATCAACTTCAAGCAGGTGGGGGTTCAACCATATTTTCTTCTTCTGCTGCCACTTTTTAAGACCTCTCTTATGTTCTTGAGATAAAATTGACTTAAAATTACATTTTTTGTTTTAAGGTCAATTCTGTTTGTTATAGATGATCATCAGTTGTTGAAATTTACAACAGAAAAAATTAAGGTGTCTCAGATCATTTCCATCTTTTGTTTCAGCTCTGTGCAAGACTTTCTCTGTAAAGAAAAGGAAGGGTAAGCTTCGAAAAGCGTGGGATGGCAGCAAAGTTGTCTACAATGTAGCATCCTGGGGAGCTACAGCCATTGGGTGAGCCATTGTAAACGAATTCAACCATAGTATTTGTTCATTTGATAACATTTCAGCTTCATCAATGTCAAGTCATATATATATGAACAGTATGTAATATCAGTCAAATCAGACAATCCTTTAATATTCTATTGAATTGTTCTTTTTATCATGGTGTATGCGTGTTACTTGTATATCCCTCGATACATCAAAATATAGTGCCAACTTGAGGATTCATTGTGTTCTTAATTCTGTTGTGGTTTTGTGCTTTGTTAAACAGAATATACCAAAATCCTGCCCTCTTCCGAGCTGCTTCTACAGCTTTCTGGACCTCGTGCCATGTTATCTCAAAGCTTTTCTAGGCTGGTTATTGGGTTTGACTCTCGTGGCTTCCTTTGCGCAGGACTGTGTTTGTATGAAATTTGTGTAATATATGTTGTATTTATTTGTAAGATTGCNGCAACTACTGAGTTTGTATGTAAAATAGGGTTTTCCTAGCCTATGTGATGTTCAAGTGTATTGTATGCGGAGTTCTATTCCATGAAGCATTCAATATGGACCCCATAGTGTTCAATGGTAGAGAAAAAAAAGCATAAAACACAATTGGAGAAGAAGACTCCCTTCTCATTATCAGAAAGCTCAAAAAATGTCTTGTCAGTTACAACGGCTAGAATACTAGAGCAACAATTATATATAGTCAAAAAATATCTTGTTATATATAGGGATTGGTTTCAATGCATTCACTTATTTAAAGTGAGGACGTAAAACTCATTTTTAGCCACAAGAATTGGTACATATCATGTGTGACCAAAATTTACTCTTTTCTTTTTATTATTTTAATTATTAGTTACAACGGCTAAAATACTAGAGCAACAATTATATATAGTCAAAAAATATCTTGTTAGTTAAAACGGCTAGAATACTAGAACAATACTTACATATATATATATATATAGGGATTGGTTCAAATGCATCCACTTATTTAAAGTGGGGACGTAAGACTCATTTTTAGCCACAAGATTTGGTACATATCATGTGTAGTCAAGATTTACTCTTTTCTTTTTATTATTTTAATTATTTAAATATTATTTTGACCCGTTGACTCCGGCGTTGACCGTTGACTTCCAGCGAAATCCGTTGACTTTCGGCGTTGAACGTTGACTTCCGGCGTTGACTCATGCGTTGACCGGTGACAACTAACCTTCTAACTAGGTTAATTCTCTGTAGTTGCTAGGTTATTTTTCTGATGCTGCTAGGTTAGTTTTCTGTAGTTGCTAGGTTAGTTGTCTTTTGTTACTAGGTTATTTCTTTGTTGCTGCTAAGTTAGCTGTCTTTTGTTGCTAGGTTAGTTATCTTTAGCTGCTAGGTTTTTTTTTTTTTTAAAACAAACAACGCCCCGGAAGGGCGGGAGATTGGGCTGGATCCCCAACCTGTGCATAGATCAGGACCCCAAAGTCGGGGCCCAAAATATCAACGATCAAGATACAATAGTCTACATCGTCTCACAAATCAAAATCAAAAACCAAAAAACCAAAAGAACCGAAAAACGAAAAAGAAATAGAAACTACAATACATAGTCGATCTTCGGGCTAACAGATGCCCGAAATAAATGTCTAGACTAATGAAAGCAAAAATCCTAAACTAGTGAAAGCAGAACGCAGGATATCTAAGCTGGTCCATCCGTACAAGGGTGCGAAGGCGGAGTGGAGCAGTGTCGGTCTGGAATGTATGTGTGTCTGGTATGGTGGCGCCAAGGCTGGCAAGATAGTCGGCGGGTCTGTTCCCCTCACGGAAAATGTGCGTGATCCTGTGATGGACAGACCGGAGTAGATCTCTAATACGCATAAGCGTGTGCTGAATCTGCCACGAGCCCTGGTGGCCCGAGGTCAAAAGGGTGACGACAGCCGCAGCGTCTAGCTCGATCCAAATGTGGCTAGAGAGGTGGACAGCAATCTGAAGGCCGATCTGTAATGCCTGAATCTCTGCATCATAGCTCGAGGAAGCCTGAAGGGACGTGTGGAAGGTGGTGATGAGGTCGCCGCTATGGTCCCGGATCA